TTCAGCCATCTTCACAACCTTTTGGGGAACTCATTCCTTCCCCTCCCTGCACTGGACACTGACCCCCAAAGTCCTCATCATCTGGTTCGTTTACGCCCATTTAGCTTCTTTTCATTCGTTTTGTTTTTAATTGCAGTTTAAGCCCTCTATCATTTCTCCAACACAGTTTTTTCCCCAGTGACAGTTGTCGAGGTAATACATCCTTTCCTTTTCTTTTCTCATTATAGGAGGGCTTGGTAGCCCGGGGTGGGGCTTGCAAAGCTACTGACGGTAAGCATTTAACATGTCGTCCGTATTTCAGTTGTTGACCATGGCTTGCTTTAAATGCAATTCTGCCTGCAATAGTTACTGCAACAACAACAACATGAAGTGTCACCAGTGGCCCTCTTTGACAAAACGAATTATCCGTGATGGGCAAACAGTTATTATAAATGTTAATCATTAAAAAACATTTCTTTATTTTAGTCTTTCCGAAACTGACCAATATTTATGGTTTTTTTCCTCAGGAGACGATTTGGAAAAAACAACGTTATCCTGTCCGACATTAGGAAACCCCCAAACCATGTCTACAATAATGGTGTGTATTATTATATAACCTACTTATATGTTCTTTTAGCTGGTACACATTGTGTTTATGTGCATTTTAACCTTTATGTCAAGGTCAATCTTTTCTTTAAGGGTTTGCATTCTCAGTCTATACATATGGACCTTAATGGTGACTCTTGGGGGTCTCCAGATGATTTCAGAAACTGTACAAACAAGGGTCATTTTGGGTCCTCCACAGGTCCGTTCATCTTCTCAGACATCCTGGACTCTAAGAACCTCCGGGAGATCGTGGTGAACAACAACATCAGCTGGCTGATTCACTACTCTGCGGTGCTGTCCGCTGTGGGAGAGAACAACGTCGCGCTGGCCAAAGAGGTCAACATCACAGGTACATGCAGACACATTACAGTCATATTCAAACAAGCTGTGAAACTACTGATAAGTCAGTTTTACAGATTCTAAAAGTGTGTTGCACCAGTATTTAGAGCCATCTTAAATCAGCCTCTCTCTCTTCGTAGGTCTCCATAACATATTAGACATAGCAACCGATCATGGTCTGCGTGTGTTTGTCCCTAGCACTATCGGTGCCTTCGGTCCGTCCTCACCCAGAGACCCCACCCCCGAGCTGTGTGTGCAGAGACCCCGCACCATCTACGGCGTCTCCAAGGTCCACGCCGAGCTGATGGGTGAGGTGAGACGCAGATATACAGACTAGGGATGCCAGCGATTATTCGAATATTCGTTACAGTCTCCATAATCGAAAATTATTTTTAAAATTCGATTTTATTTATATATTTTTTTATTATTATTTATGTTTTTTTTTTTTCTGGCTCAGTTTCAACCAAAATATAGACTAATGCTAATAATAGTAATAGTATTAATAATTGTAAATGGCCATTGGTCACACCACCAGTTTGTTTTACTGTAAACTTGGAGGAAGCCAGCAGCCCTACACACCGACCCCGCCCCCCCAATTGATTTATTGGAGTGAGAACAAAACTAAAGATGAACAAAGGAAAGAAGAGTTCCTCGTGGAACTACTTCAAACTGACGAGTGCAAAATCAGGTCAAATGCAAGAGTTTTTTTGTTTCTCCCGCGGGGGGGGGCGGGCGTTGAATAATCAATTATTATTCGCCACGGCTGTCCGATTTTCGATTTTGATCATGGTCAGTTTCTGGCATCCCTAATACAGACACACAAAGATATCAAGTGTCCAAATATACACGTCCGCTTTACTCCCACAAATCCCAGGGTGTTTAAGCGTTCCCTCCCTCTCTTCTCAGTACTACCACCACAGGTATGGGCTGGATTTCCGCTGCCTCAGGTACCCGGGCATCATCTCCGCTAACTCCAATCCTGGGGGAGGAACAACAGGTATGTAAAGCTTTAAAAAAACAAAACAATTCCGTCCCTCTAAGTTTTGACATTTGCCAGTTTTTCTCAACTGGCCTCATAATGGGAGGGACATTTTTCACTATTTGTATAGGTTTTATTGACCAAACGATCAATAGATAATGAATGTAAGCGTTAGTTGCAGCCCTAAGAATGCGATAAAGATGGTGGAAGTATCACTAACAGTTTAAACAGAGGGGACTAATTGTTTGGTGTTTTTGATCTTAATATTCATCTGTTCTTCCCTTTCCTAGACTATGCTGTGCAGATCTTCCACACTGCGGTGAAAACTGGTTGCTTTGAGTGTAACCTGCGCAGTGACACACTGCTCCCCATGATGTACATAGGTAACACCCGACTTTTAGACCTTTTGCAATAGTGTCAACGTTTAAACTTCACAGGTGATGATTCATTTGTATTTCCTGCCCAGATGACTGTCTCAGGGCGACTCTGGAGTTCATGGAGGCTCCTGCAGACTCACTGCTCAGCCGCACGTACAACATCAGCGCGATGAGCTTCACGCCACATGACCTCGTCCAGGAGATGCAGAAAGTCCTGCCCGAACTCAAGGTCACCTACAATGTGGATCCTGTACTGCAGGCTATAGGTGAGACTCCTGGTATCTATGTGCAATATAAATACCATTACGCAACGCAAACATTTCCCAAATTGGGATCAATAAAGTACCTATCTATCTACCTATCTACCTACCTATCTACCTACCTATCTATCTACGTATCTATCTATCTATATCTACCTACCTACCTATCTACCTATCCATTTCATTTCATTTCATTTTTATTTGTCCCGCTCATGGTACGCAAAACCAAATGTACAATAATTGCCACAAAACATGAATACCAAAACACCTTTGAGCGAAAAGGAGCAGGGAGAAGAATACAATCTTATGTGACCTGCCCCTTTCTAAAAAAAATATTAAGAAAATACAAATAGATGGTCTGCCCTTCATAATAATAATTTTTTTTTTTTTTTTTCACAGCCAAACATAACAGTATCTTAGGATACTAAGAGAACACAAAAAAAAATAAAAACTTATTTCCCACTTGACGGTTAACGGAAAGAAACAAACAGAACAACACCGAAACATCACATGTTAAGGAAAAGAAAAGTGCAACACCCTCATCTATCTATCTACCATCATTACAAAACACTCGCTGCTATACAACATGTGCAATATCATTATTATTATTAATAATATTCTATAATAATATGCAATTACGTATCTGCCACTACGTTTTTTTGCACTGTTAATATTGACATTAATTATGTGAGCGTCTGTGTTTCCTGTAGATATTGAATTGCTCTTGTTACTGCACTGTTAGTGTAGTTTTATTTGTATTATGCTGCTGTGTTTATTGTATTTTTGTAAGTCTGGCACAACAATTTCCTTCAGGATGAATAAAGTCCCATCTTATCTTACTTAAGATCATAGGAGGAATGAGCAGCAGAATCATTTCTTCCTCATCCTCACAGTTTTCTCTTGTGTGTCTTCTGTTAGCGGACGGCTGGCCGATGGTGTTAGAGGACATCGCAGCGAGGCGGGACTGGGGCTGGAAGCACGAGTTCGACCTATCAGAGCTGGTGCAGACCATGCTGACTCACATCACTACCTCCAGCCAGCGTGCACAAGCAAACTGAGCCCTTTTCACTCCATGGAAAGCTTTATTTAGAACTATTAAACACTGAAGATTAAGAGAATGTTTACGATTACACGTTAAACAGCTCAAACATAATAACATCCAACAACTATCCTCGTCTCCATCTAATGTTCATAATCTGATGCAAGACTATGCATACTATCTCGCTATGTTACTGGACTTTAAATAGTCCTCTCTCTGAATGTACTGTATGTATGTATGGCATGTACACAGATGACTTGGCCTTCTGTATTTGCATGTGTAGCAGCTAAATGACATTTGGAGGGCGATTCAGCCGTCCTGAAAACCAGTGGGCTTTGAGTAAGAGACACTCAAAGGCTTTACCTCGATACGTAAGAGATTCAAACCCTAGTGTTACTGTAGGGTTAGTTACAGGGGCTTTAACCATAGTTGCCTAGCATTATAAAACATGTCTGTGTTAAAGAAGAACAGCTACTTCACCCGTACACTAGCTGCTTTAAATATTATTTGTATTTGAATGATTTTATCGTTGGTCTCAGTTTCGAAGCTGCAGCCTCGGAGCTGAATATTTATGGATGTTGATTTAATGAATGCATTAGCAGTCATTTTCATTTTAAGGGAAGTAGGGCTCTTCAGTTTTGCAGCTGTACTCTTAAGGATCTGTGAAAAACACGTGTAGCATGGAGGGAGCGGGCTATAGAGCTCCATTTTGTTTCTTTTTTAATATTGATGTTATTTATAATTATATTCTTTGCAGCTTTTTCTGTCAAACCAAACGGGACGAACTTTTTCTTTTTTAAATAAACACTTAAATTCAACAACGTTGTTATGGCTTTTCCTTTGTTGCCGACTCGTGCACTCAGTCTATCTTCATGATATTTGATAATGAACCTGTGCTTTAAAACGTCCACTAAAATAGTCCACAATGATAAATACATGTTCTCCTGTACAGTCAAATGAAGTGAATTAGAAAGTACGGGGCAAACAAAGCGTGGGAAATCCTAGAAATTAAACCATTTGCAATGTTTTCTTTCTTCCAACTATCTTTACTCACTGAGGTCCAGTCCTCACAGTGCATTCCCAGAATCCTTCAGTCCTGCTTTTGCCTTTGCAGCTGAGTGTGGATGTAATCTTTGTTTGTCTGCTTTAGTTTGAACTTCAGGATATCAACGAGCAGAGAGGCCTCTCAGTCCAGACTCTCCAGCATCTGGCCCTCTGTGGCCCTCACTGCTGCACCAACCAACGCCTGGACACCATGCGGAAAACAGAGGAGAAAAGGGCATGAAATATATTCCAAAAATGCTTTCCTTTGTTTTAAATCCCTCTGAGAGATCACCTCTTAGTCCAGTTCCACATCCTGAGGAATATCCACCTCCCCCAGAGTGACCCTTGACCCCTTTCGGAGACTCCACAGGCTCCTCCAACAGTGCAACACAATAGTAAATACACATAAAATAGTAATTGGGATATGATATACTAGTTGCAACAGATGGATGTTCTTTTCAAAAGTTGAAAGTCTTACGGCCTGTGGGATGAAACTGTCCCCGAGTGGTGGTTTTACCCTGATATGCAATCCATTTCTCCCACATGTGTACAGCGCTCTGTTCAGATGTGTGGTGATTATATCTGTGAGTCACTGATTGGAAAGGCTTCCTCACCTGAGCCAGAGGACAGGGTGTGGGCGGCACCTGCACCTCCAGGTGTAGCTGAGCGATGGACATGTTGGAGGCTCCACTCACAGCCGCCTGGAAGAGCCTCCTCCGGGCGGTGAGGGTGTGTGTGAGGAACTGGGTGAAGTCTTGTTGGTGGAGAGGGGTGAGGTTCGGCAAATACTCGGACAGCTCATCTCTCAGCAGGGATAAGAGGTTGGGAACGTCGAGACCTGATGGATGGAAGACAGAAAAGTACAGAAGCTTGAAAATAATGATTCAGTTTTGCTTAATAATGACCTAGTATCTCAAAAGAATGGAAAACAAATGACATTTTTGGACATTTATTTGGAAAAACTAATTATTTGAACTACATTTTTCATTATGACTTCTTTTGGGCTTGCATATTTATTTATATTATTTATATTTATAGTCAATTTAATATTGAATAATCAATTTCTTGCACAATAATATCCTGCATTATATTTGTTAATGGGGATGTGTATTTCCACATGTATATTTTCCTCATGTATATATATTTCTTTAACTTTGTAATCTTATTTTATTATTAATTTATTTCAGAAATATTTTTGGACTGTTGATTTCTAGTGTCTTAATTTCTCTTATGTACATTGCCGTTTTTTATGCTGCCAAATTGGGATCAATAAAGTACTTATCTATCTATCCATCCATCAATCTATCTATCTATCTATCTATCTATCTATCTATCTGTCTATCTATCTATCCATCAATCTATCTATCTATCTATCTATCTGTCTATCCATTTATCTATCTATCTATCTATCTATCTATCCATCCATCCATCTATCTATCTATCTATCTATCCATCCATCCATCCATCTATCCATCTATCTATCTATCTATCTGTCTATCTATTTAATCAAACAAAGATACAATTCCCTGTGGCCTTAATACCGTTTTAATAAAAAGCACATAGGGAATGAATCACTAGGAATGACTCACTCATACTCAAAGTGCTCTGCAATTCAAGCTGTTCAGATCTCAAACTAGGTAAACATGTGTTTCCATGCACTTTAAAAGCTCTCAGGAAACAAACGGCTCTCTCTGATGTCCCCCCTCCCTTGATCCTGACCTCCAGGTGAAGCTCTGTTTTTGCTCTTACCCCCCAGTCGAGGAAAGAGGCCTTTTGCGATCTCGGCTGCCCGGATCACGTCAGTCCAGGAGAAACCACGGCTCGCAGCAAACATGGCGACGTCAAACACAAACTCCTGATGGAAGAGGCGCCGCTCATCAGAGAGCTCGAGCCATGAGAAGTGACGACTCAGCCTCTGCACACCAGCATCTCTCTGCACACACATTGATACACACAACCATCATTGATGCACTCGTGCATAATCATTGATTTCATGCTGTGGCAGCTCATTATGGAGTTGAACTTTCATCAACATGGTCTTTGAAGTATGATTTACTCACTACACACACATTGTTTCTGCTGATAAGAGTGCAGCATTACAGCAACTTGTTGTAGCTTTTTTAAAGTTATTTATAGAGATTTAAATCGTCCTACCTTATACAGTAATGCAGTTTATACAATGCATCAGACATTAGGTCAGTATTTAGTTGTGTATATTAGTACTGTACAGTGTCAGATAAATAAATATAGTGAATAGTGAGGAGTGGTTTAAAGTAGCATAACATGTCAATACTAAAGCATAGGAACACCAAACATACAGTAAATGAATTGCTAGTAAATGGCATTTTTGATAAGTCTGTGTTGTCGAATTCCAGACAGCATTTGAAGGCACCAGAATTACACATCTATACGTTTTATTAATACAAAAAAATAAAGATTTCTTCTACCTGGTGTCTCGCTATCTGCGATATTTCACTCTCTGTGAGAGACTCCATCATTGATAAGTGACACAGGTCAGGTGCATTTGGTTGCCATGGGAGAAGGACGCGTAGTTCGGCGTGCGTAACTGTTTACGCGATTGCGTCACAATCACGTACGGCGCACGGGAGCTGGTGGAATGGAATGTTTGGACAAGACGCTTATTAATTTATTTTGTCATATTACAAAAATGGGAAAAAAATAAAAGTATGTTGAACTAACTAATGAGCTACAATAAATAGTCAGTTATAATCGTAATTAGTTCAGCAGATTCGGTTAATTCCGATGTTTAAAGTGTGTGCCGGGGTTTGATGGGGAACACTGTACCGGGGTCTGTCATGTAATTCGGTTTATTAACCCGAGCTACAGATGGCTCAGGTTAATCCTCTTTAGCATGAATCCCACTCCTCCTCCTGCTTCGTTTCTCCCCCTCTGTGGAAGGAAATAGTATGATTGTATTTTTTATAATGTAAAGATAACAGATTGAGATTTGTAAAGCTACCTCTTCACCAGCAATACGCCATTTCCGCTTATGCTTATAACAATAACATGAAAAATGTACTATATTGATCCCGATTTGGACATTTCTTCGTCACAGCAACATGTTAAAACAAGGCATTGCACACATAATTTCATCAATATCTCAGTATTAAGTCTCTTATTTTGAGTAGGAGATTCCACATGCAGTAGGCTTATATCAATTGTTTTGGTATGTAAATATTATGCCATTATTTTGAAAATCTAAATCAGTGTATTTCCGGTCCCTAAGCTGCTGGCTTGATGCTGAACATGCGCCTCTTTCCAAGATCTGCGATGTGTGTGACGGAGCGACCACTGCTGCATTAATATCTTATATCTAAATGGTTTGTTTCTGCATCTACAATCAGCTATTCGCCCTCCATCATCCCTGCTGTCGGTATGAATCCATAAAGGTAAGATTGGTCTGATTTATTTCCCCTAAATTCCTGTTGCTAAACTAATAAAATGTGCATTAAACTCCAAAATATGGTGCATGTGTTCTAGTGCAATTGTGCATGTTGTTGGATGTGTTTTCACTTCAGCAAGGACGTGCACTGAACTTGTATTAAAGGGGTCTGTTGGCTAAACTCCCCCTAGCACCGTATCATGTACCTGATTTGTGTAAAATGTGGTCATTAAACTACCACAAATCCATTTTCATGTGTTGATTGTTTACAAATGTAAATATTAATCAAATAAAATACTGCACACTTATTGTGTAAGTTAATTAAGGTTCAAAGTAAGCTAGGTTATTTTGAAAATGCACATTTTACTGCATTTAATATCATTTTTTGTATTTTTACAATAGACCGTCAAGTGTCCACATCTGCTTTACACATGTGGAGATTTGTATAGATCAACACATTCTGTATACCATGCGTTATTAAGCATTGCCAATCATATTTATGTACTTAAAACATAAAAAATAAACAATCATTTCGTCTTGAAAGGTCAGCAAAAGTGGGAAAATGTGGTGCTCAGACATAGCCAGTCTTTATCATATCTGTAACCCTTCTTGGTGTGTTTTGGACTTCATGTGATGCAGTTGTTGGGCAGTGGTGTGTTTATTGGACGAGTGAAAGAGAGCAGGAGGGGTTAATTAGGTTACAGTGGAGTGAGCAGATCTCCTAAAGTAGTCCACACATCATATTACCTCTGCTTTGCAAACTGAACCAATTACACCTCAGCTCTGACACACTCACACTTTTGCAGCAGTGATGATTTCCCTTGATTTATCCACAAGGAATACTCATTAGTATTCCCTCGCTGCCGTCAGCACAGGAACTACTCATCCCTGACTCCCTGTCTAACCAGAGGTCTCCAAAGGATCCACCTACTCTTTTCCTGTCGCTCATCAAAGCTGTGAAATGCAGGGTGAATTGTACACGGATGTTATCGGAAAAATAGACGGTGTCGTGTGAACTGCCCTTGCACTTAAAAGCACAATGCAGTGTCCCTGAACACCTGCAGGAGAGCCGTGAACGCTTGAGGGACGAACACAAATCCTGTAAAACAGTTTTTTGATTTGTTGCTTTTATAAGAAAAAGGTTTTGTACAACCTGAGTCTTATCTTGTAGAAACAAAACCTTGAGCAACACAAGATTTCAGTTCATCTTAAGGACACATTGTTCTTGGTTTCAACATATAGCCTAAGGCATATTAACTATGTCCTTCTCTTTAAATATATGACTTCTGGCATTATCAATATGTTCAAATTCAAAATGGATCAAATAACAAGTGGCCCCTTTCTGCATTTCCTACCAGTTTCATCTTGTTTTGGTTTTACAGCCTGCAACTTTACTGTTGTGGCTCACTCTCATCAGCATCATTCACAGGTGCCATCTTTAATGTAGTCCACATGTTACAACATCTATATACAGCCAGAATTCCAACTGAACAACCAAATATAGCCTTACATATTTTACTGTATGTGCAAGTGTTAACGAAGGTTTAAAGTAGATGGCGTCAAGACAAAAACAAAATGAAACGTTAACGTGCTTTTAACTCGTGATAATGTGGTTCCGATCATTGATTTTCCACCACCGCTGCAACAACGTTAATGACTAGTTTGCCCCGACACGGTTCAATAGGAGCAGTTGGTGTTTTCAGTGATTCCCAAACAGGAGACCCCCTGCTGTCAGACAGATTGTCTGTACTTACAATCCTCTCCAAACACAGCAGTATATCTGTGTGTGTGTGTGTGTGTCAATGGTTTTATAGGTTTTGAGTTCAGTCCCTCTTGCCTTCTATTGTTCTCTGTCTCTTGTTTTGTCTTCCTCACACACACACACACACACACACACACACACACACACACACACACTCTCTCACACTCTCTCTCACTCACACACACACACACACACACACACACACACACACACACACACACACACACACACAAATATAATTTAAACTGTAGTAGTAAGTAATTATGACAAATTGTGCTCTCCTAACCACTTGACTGAAAGATCAAAGTTGCAAATTGCTTCATCAGGTCAGCTCCATAAGATTGTCTTGGCTTCACCATAGCAACACCTTACCTTCTCTCTCTCTCACGCTCTCACACACACACACACACACACACACACACACACACACACACACACACACAGCCACATTTTCAGCTCCATATCCATCCTCCATCCATTCAAATGTCACCGGCAGCACCTTTGACCCCGTTACCGCACGAACACACACAGAAATTCCCACACACACACATCCCACCTTAATGTCCCCATAATTGAAAAAAGACTCAACAATCTCCCACTTTAAAAAGAAACTAAATCACATCTTAAAAGTGTCTTCTTTTAGGTAAAAAGGTGACACACACTCACCTCAGAGTGGATCCCGGTGCTTCTGCTGCCGCTGCCGATGTAGAAAAGACCGGACTGGAACCTCCACCCTCGCACACACACACACACGTGTACGCTCACACTCGGAGGACGAGGTGTGTGTGAGGACAATGAGACTTGGTCTGGATGGAGCTGAGCGGTGGTAGTAGTAGGAGGAGGAGGAGGAGGAGAAGGAGGGAGGAGGGAGGAGGTAGGAGAGGGAGGAGGGAGATGTGTGGTTGGGCGGGAAGGTAAAGAGGAAAGAGAGGGAGGGAAGGAGAGAGAGAGATGAATACAGCAGAAGAAGAAAAGACTGAAAAAAAAAACGTGAAAAGGGTCCCACTATAGCGGAGTCCCTCTTGTTCCATTTATGTGTGTATGTGTGTGTTGAGGTGTGTGTGTGTGTGTGTGTGTGTGTGTGTGGGTCTCCTGTTCGTCTCTTGAGACTTGGCGCCCTGCCTCAAAAGCGGAAAGTGTAGCGAGAGCAGCCTAACACCTTTTCTGAGTGTGTGTGTGTGTGTGTGTGTGTGTGTGTGTGTGTGTGTGTGTGTGTGTGTGTGTGTGTGTGTGTGTGTGTGTGTG